TTATTTTTTAAATAATAAACCAAGAAGGAAAAAGGTAGAAAACATTGGTTCTGAAACTCATGATTTGACCTTAGTGTTGAAAGTAGTTCATCTGATGGACAATGGTTTCTTTCTAGCCAAGGTTCAGAAATGGCCTCTCAAGGACGGGAACTGGCTAATCATTTCCAAAGCGAAGGAACGCCAGTTATGATCGGTGAGGTGTTTTGGACATCTTGGGCGCTTTTGGTAGGGTGGAGAGTATGTAAAACTTATCACTAACATAAATATTGAATGTTGCATAGAATCATTCATCTTAAACATTTTAAAATTAACTTTTACACTGCACATATTAATATCTGGATATTTAAAAAAATTCCAAAGTGGCTTGCACAAAAAAGTTTCTAATAAACAGAAGTAAAGGCTAAAAAAAGAAATGATAACTGTGTTTAAAACATTTAAAAAGCTAAGAGCAGTATTAAAAAGAGGAGACGGTCACCAAATTGAGAATCATAAGTCATGGTATTGTCACTAACTTAGCTGGCTATGTGACACTGTGCAAATTACTTAATCTCTCTGGACTTTATGTGTTTAAAATAAGATTGGATTAACTGATGTAAAGATGCATGCTTCCAAGAAGTAAAGTTATCCTGTGATGAGAGGTAAGCTCAGACTAGTGTGATGTCAGCACGGTATCAGAAAAACCATCATGAGTGGATGGGCTGTGTCACTCAGAGCAGCAGCAGCTGACCATCTGCTCAGAGGGGTACCACAGTAGTGACTGCTGCTCTGCTGGGAGGAGTTTGGACCCTCTGTGGGGTTCAGTTCAAGTAATTCTGTGGATTCGGCAGAAGAATATAAACTTTATACAAATATAAATAAGATTGTATCATTTATCTGTTAAAGATGTAATTTTATCTTTTCAGATATATTTGACATTGTGGTCTTTTACAGTGTAGGGTAGTCAATTTAATGCTGTTTTAGATCAGTTAATAGGCAAAGTAATCAGCCTTTTAAAACTTACATTGAATAGGCAGTTGAGATAGTTTATGTCCTCTTTTGTATTTCATATTTCTTCTACAGGGGGAGGAGTTTTGGCCCACACAATACTAGGTGTTGCATGGAATGAGATAACAGGGCAGATAAAATTTCTAATTCTAGATCCACATTATACAGGAGCCGAAGATCTACAGGTTATTTTAGAAAAGGTAAGTATCCATTATTTCTTTTTTTTGCATAGAAAACACAGGGTTAATAACAGCCACTATTTACTTAGCACTTTTTATATGCAGTGTCATGACAGCCATGGCAAGCAGAATTCATGCCCATTTGATTATTCCAAGAAAAAAGACTGAAGCTCAGAGAATCAGAGCATTGCTGAAGCTGGAATTAGAATTCCAGGCTACCAACTCCAAAGTCTGCTCTAAACCATCATACATGGATTACACTGCCCCTCAAACATATCTTTTAAAATCCTACTTTCCCAAAACAAAAAAACCTAAATGGTCACATCTTTTGTAGATAAAGACCTGTTATTTACTTAATACATTTTACCACTTTCTATGAAGTTTTTTGTCTGAAGGAGACTGGCATTATTTCTACTGCTAATTAACCTTCAACTATTTGTATAGCACATAAGAAATAACACTGCTCACATATAGTAAGTATCCATTTAACACAAATTGTGACCCAAGGCAGAGAACCCAGAAGTGGAGGTTATCAAACTGCCTGTTAACAGAGAGAAAGTAGCTGAGGGTGGTGATCCTTAGGGTCAGAATGCTAAGGCTGCGGTGAGTGAGAGCCTTTCCATCTGTGAGGACAGGAGAGAAAAAAGTAAATTTGCAAAAGGCAAAATTTAGGTTAGATTTTTTTTTAAACTCAATTATTAAACTTAATAATAGAACACAAAGTTCATAAATATTATCCTTTAAAGCAGTGGTTCTGGCTTGGTGCCTATGGCTTAGCAGCTAGGGCACCAGCCACATACCTCAGAGCTGGCAGGTTCAAATCCAGCCCAGGCCTGCCAAACAACAATGACAACTACAACCAAAAAATAGCTAGGTGTTGTGGCAGGCGCCTGTAGTCCCAGCTACTTGGGAGGCTGAGGCAAAACAATTGCTTAAGCCCAAGAGTTTGAGGTTGCAGTAAGCTATGATGCCCTAGCACTCTATCCAGGGCAACAGCTTGAGACTCTGTCTCAAAAATAAACCCAAATAAATAAAGCAGTGGTTTTCAACCTTCCTAATGCCGTGACCCTTTAATACAGTTCTTCATGTTGTGGTGACCTCCAACCAAAAAATTATTTTCATTGTTACTTCATAACTGTAATTTTGCTACTATTATGAATTGTAATGTAAATATCTGATATGTGGGATGGTCTTAGGTGACCCCTGTGAAAGGGTCATTCGACCCACAGGTTGAGAACCACTGCTTTAAAGATTTTACTGCTTTGTATAAATAAATGTATCAAGGTATATCAATGTCTTAAAATAGAAGAGTAGAATATATACTTGCATAATTTTAGAATTAACAAAAAATAGCTAAGTAGCATGCTTTTAGACATTATGGAGGCTTGACTAATGAGTTGAGACATATTTAAGTGTATTTGTTTTTCCTTGTGCTAAATTTAAGTTAGGCAGCTAATTCTCACATATGAAAACTCAGTACTAAATCTTTAGGAGAAAGTATCGTAAAACATTATTAACTTGAAAAGTGCTGACAGAGCCTCATGTTGTAATTTCCATCACGCAGTCGGTCTTGTAACTTTGTAAAACGTTTTCCTTTCCTTTCTCTTATCTCCAGGGCTGGTGTGGATGGAAGGGCCCAGACTTTTGGAACAAAGATGCTTACTATAATTTATGCCTTCCTCAGCGACCAAATATTATTTAAAGTGTC